TTTGGGGGGATTTCCCTTTTGGGGGGGGGGGGGGGGGGGGGGGGGGGGGGGGGGGGGTTTTAATCTTGCGAGGGGCCCCTTGGGAAGGGCTGGGTGGAGGTCTATGGGCAGTGCTATGGTCGCTATGGGCAGTCTATGGGTCGCTATGGGGCAGTCATTTCCCTTTGGAGTTTGGGGGGTTAAGGGTTTGGGGTCATGGCTTCGCTATGGGCAGGTCTATGGGTGCTATGGGCAGGATCTATGGGCGCTATGGGCGCTATCAACTTTGGAAGGGCCCGGGTGGGGAAGGTTTTGGGGGTTTTGGTATGGGCAGTTTATGGGTCGCTATGGGCGAAAGGGTGTTGGGTTGGGGAGAATTCTTGCAGTGCTGGGGGGGGGGGGGGGGGGGGGGGGGGGGGGGGGGGGGGGGGGGGGGGGGGGGGGGGGGGGGGGGGGGGGGGGGGGGGGGGGGGGGGGGGGGGGGGGGGGGGGTTGGGAGTTCTATGGGTCAGTGCTATGGCGCTATGGGGCAGACTCACATCTCCTTGACGAAGGTGGCCTCCGGGTTGGGGAAGAGGTTCTATGGGTCAGTGTCTATGGCTCGCTATGGGGCAGTGCTATGGGTCAGGATCTATGGGTCAGGATCTATGGGTCAGGATCTATGGGTCGCTATGGGGCAGACTCACATCTCCTTGACGAAGGTGGCCTCCGGGTTGGGGAAGAGGTTCTATGGGTCAGTGTCTATGGCTCGCTATGGGGCAGTGCTATGGGTCAGGATCTATGGGTCAGGATCTATGGGTCGCTATGGGGCAGACTCACATCTCCTTGACGAAGGTGGCCTCCGGGTTGGGGAAGAGGTTCTATGGGTCAGTGTCCATGGCTCGCTATGGGGCAGGCTCTATGGGTCGCTATGGGGCAGGATCTATGGGTCAGGATCTATGGGTCGCTATGGGGCAGACTCACATCTCCTTGACGAAGGTGGCCTCCGGGTTGGGGAAGAGGTTCTATGGGTCAGTGTCTATGGCTCGCTATGGGTCAGGATCTATGGGGCAGGATCTATGGGTCAGGCTCTATGGGTCGCTATGGGGCAGTGCTATGGGTCAGGATCTATGGGTCGCTATGGGGCAGACTCACATCTCCTTGACGAAGGTGGCCTCCGGGTTGGGGAAGAGGTTCTATGGGTCAGTGTCTATGGCTCGCTATGGGGCAGTGCTATGGGTCAGGATCTATGGGTCAGGATCTATGGGTCGCTATGGGGCAGACTCACATCTCCTTGACGAAGGTGGCCTCCGGGTTGGGGAAGAGGTTCTATGGGTCAGTGTCTATGGCTCGCTATGGGGCAGTGCTATGGGTGGGGCAGTGCTATGGGTCAGGATCTATGGGTCGCTATGGGGCAGACTCACATCTCCTTGACGAAGGTGGCCTCCGGGTTGGGGAAGAGGTTCTATGGGTCAGTGTCTATGGCTCGCTATGGGTCAGGATCTATGGGTCAGGATCTATGGGTCGCTATGGGGCAGACTCACATCTCCTTGACGAAGGTGGCCTCCGGGTTGGGGAAGAGGTTCTATGGGTCAGTGTCTATGGCTCGCTATGGGGCAGTGCTATGGGTCAGGATCTATGGGGCAGGATCTATGGGTCGCTATGGGGCAGACTCACATCTCCTTGACGAAGGTGGCCTCCGGGTTGGGGAAGAGGTTCTATGGGTCAGTGCCTATGGCTTGCTATGGGGCAGTGCTATGGGTCAGGATCTATGGGTCGCTATGGGTCAGGATCTATGGGTCGCTATGGGTCAGGATCTATGGGTCGCTATGGGGCAGACTCACATCTCCTTGACGAAGGTGGCCTCCGGGTTGGGGAAGAGGTTCTATGGGTCAGTGTCTATGGCTCGCTATGGGGCAGTGCTATGGGGCAGGATCTATGGGTCAGGATCTATGGGTCGCTATGGGGCAGACTCACATCTCCTTGACGAAGGTGGCCTCCGGGTTGGGGAAGAGGTTCTATGGGTCAGTGTCTATGGCTCGCTATGGGGCAGTGCTATGGGTCAGGATCTATGGGTCAGGATCTATGGGTCGCTATGGGGCAGACTCACATCTCCTTGACGAAGGTGGCCTCCGGGTTGGGGAAGAGGTTCTATGGGTCAGTGTCTATGGCTCGCTATGGGGCAGTGCTATGGGTCAGGATCTATGGGGCAGGATCTATGGGTCGCTATGGGGCAGACTCACATCTCCTTGGGTCAGGTTCTATGGGTCAGTGTCTATGGGCAGCTATGGGGCAGGATCTATGGCTCGCTATGGGTCAGGATCTATGGGTCGCTATGGGGCAGACTACATCTCCTTGACGAAGGTGGCCTCCGGGTTGGGGAAGAGGTTCTATGGGTCAGTGTCTATGGCTCGCTATGGGTCAGGATCTATGGGTCGCTATGGGTCGCTATGGGTCAGGCGATCTATGGGTCAGGATCTATGGGTCAGGATCTATGGGTCGCTATGGGGCAGACTCACATCTCCTTGACGAAGGTGGCCTCCGGGTTGGGGAAGAGGTTCTATGGGTCAGTGTCTATGGCTCGCTATGGGTCAGGATCTATGGGTCGCTATGGGTCAGGATCTATGGGTCAGGATCTATGGGTCGCTATGGGGCAGACTCACATCTCCTTGACGAAGGTGGCCTCCGGGTTGGGGAAGAGGTTCTATGGGTCAGTGTCTATGGCTCGCTATGGGGCAGTGCTATGGGTCAGGATCTATGGGTCAGGATCTATGGGTCGCTATGGGGCAGACTCACATCTCCTTGACGAAGGTGGCCTCCGGGTTGGGGAAGAGGTTCTATGGGTCAGTGTCTATGGGTCGCTATGGGGCAGTGCTATGGGTCAGGATCTATGGGTCAGGATCTATGGGTCGCTATGGGGCAGACTCACATCTCCTTGACGAAGGTGGCCTCCGGGTTGGGGAAGAGGTTCTATGGGTCAGTGTCTATGGCTCGCTATGGGTCAGGATCTATGGGTCAGGATCTATGGGTCGCTATGGGGCAGACTCACATCTCCTTGACGAAGGTGGCCTCCGGGTTGGGGAAGAGGTTCTATGGGTCAGTGTCTATGGCTCGCTATGGGGCAGTGCTATGGGTCAGGATCTATGGGGCAGGATCTATGGGTCGCTATGGGGCAGACTCACATCTCCTTGACGAAGGTGGCCTCCGGGTTGGGGAAGAGGTTCTATGGGTCAGTGCCTATGGCTTGCTATGGGGCAGTGCTATGGGTCAGGATCTATGGGTCGCTATGGGTCAGGATCTATGGGTCGCTATGGGTCAGGATCTATGGGTCGCTATGGGGCAGACTCACATCTCCTTGACGAAGGTGGCCTCCGGGTTGGGGAAGAGGTTCTATGGGTCAGTGTCTATGGCTCGCTATGGGGCAGTGCTATGGGGCAGGATCTATGGGTCAGGATCTATGGGTCGCTATGGGGCAGACTCACATCTCCTTGACGAAGGTGGCCTCCGGGTTGGGGAAGAGGTTCTATGGGTCAGTGTCTATGGCTCGCTATGGGGCAGTCAGGATCTATGGGTCAGGATCTATGGGTCGCTATGGGGCAGACTCACATCTCCTTGACGAAGGTGGCCTCCGGGTTGGGGAAGAGGTTCTATGGGTCAGTGTCTATGGCTCGCTATGGGGCAGTGCTATGGGTCAGGATCTATGGGTCAGGATCTATGGGTCGCTATGGGGCAGACTCACATCTCCTTGACGAAGGTGGCCTCCGGGTTGGGGAAGAGGTTCTATGGGTCAGTGTCTATGGGTCGCTATGGGTCAGTGCTATGGGTCAGGATCTATGGGTCAGGATCTATGGGTCGCTATGGGGCAGACTCACATCTCCTTGACGAAGGTGGCCTCCGGGTTGGGGAAGAGGTTCTATGGGTCAGTGTCTATGGCTCGCTATGGGGCAGTGCTATGGGTCAGGATCTATGGGGCAGGATCTATGGGTCGCTATGGGGCAGACTCACATCTCCTTGACGAAGGTGGCCTCCGGGTTGGGGAAGAGGTTCTATGGGTCAGTGCCTATGGCTTGCTATGGGGCAGTGCTATGGGTCAGGATCTATGGGTCGCTATGGGTCAGGATCTATGGGTCGCTATGGGTCAGGATCTATGGGTCGCTATGGGGCAGACTCACATCTCCTTGACGAAGGTGGCCTCCGGGTTGGGGAAGAGGTTCTATGGGTCAGTGCCTATGGCTGGCTATGGGGCAGTGCTATGGGGCAGGATCTATGGGTCAGGATCTATGGGTCGCTATGGGGCAGACTCACATCTCCTTGACGAAGGTGGCCTCCGGGTTGGGGAAGAGGTTCTATGGGTCAGTGTCTATGGCTCGCTATGGGGCAGTGCTATGGGTCAGGATCTATGGGTCAGGATCTATGGGTCGCTATGGGGCAGACTCACATCTCCTTGACGAAGGTGGCCTCCGGGTTGGGGAAGAGGTTCTATGGGTCAGTGTCTATGGCTCGCTATGGGGCAGTGCTATGGGTCAGGATCTATGGGTCAGGATCTATGGGTCGCTATGGGGCAGACTCACATCTCCTTGACGAAGGTGGCCTCCGGGTTGGGGAAGAGGTTCTATGGGTCAGTGTCTATGGCTCGCTATGGGTCAGTGTCTATGGGTCGCTATGGGTCAGGATCTATGGGTCAGGATCTATGGGTCGCTATGGGGCAGACTCACATCTCCTTGACGAAGGTGGCCTCCGGGTTGGGGAAGAGGTTGCCCTCGTTGCGGCCCAGGGCGCTGCCCGGGCAGTAGAAGTTGATGCGCAGGTACGTGTAGTCGCCCTCCACCGACATGCTGATGTTCTGTGGGGCAGGACCCATAGGGGATCAGTGGGGCAGGACCCATAGAACATCATTGGGGTGGAGATTGGGTCCATAGGGGATCAGTGGGGTGGGACCCATAGGGGATCAGTGGGGCAGGAGCCATAGGGGATCAGTGGGGCGGGACCCATAGGGGATCAGTGGGGCAGGACCCATAGGGGATCAGTGGGGCGGGAGCCATAGGGGATCAATGGGGCGGGACCCATAGGACATCATTGGAGTGGGACCCATAGGGGATCAGTGGGGCGGGACCCATAGGGGATCAGTGGGGCGGGACCCATAGAGCATCACTGAGTGGGGACCCACAGGCCATCAGTGGGGCAGGAGCCATAGGGGATCAGTGGGGCAGGACCCATAGAACATCATTGGAGTGGAGATTGGGACCCATAGAGCATCACTGAGTGGGGACCCACAGGCCATCAGTGGGGCAGGAGCCATAGGGGATCAGTGGGGCAGGACCCATAGGGGATCAGTGGGGCGGGAGCCATAGGGGATCAGTGGGGCGGGACCCATAGGGGATCAGTGGGGCGGGACCCATAGGGGATCAGTGGGGCAGGAGCCATAGGGGATCAATGGGGCGGGAGCCATAGAACATCATTGGGGTGGAGATTGGGTCCATAGGGGATCAGTGGGGCAGGACCCATAGGGGATCAGTGGGGCGGGAGCCATAGGGGATCAGTGGGGTGGGACCCATAGGGCAGCAGTGGAGATTGGGACCCATAGAGCATCACTGGGGGGGGACCCACAGGCCATCAGTGGGGCAGGACCCATAGGGGATCAGTGGGGCAGGACCCATAGGGGATCAGTGGGGCGGGAGCCATAGGGGATCAGTGGGGCGGGAGCCATACGGGATCAATGGGGCAGGAGCCATAGGGGATCAGTGGGGCGGGACCCATAGGGGATCAGTGGGGCGGGACCCATAGGGGATCAGTGGGGCGGGACCCATAGAACATCATTGGGGTGGAGATTGGGTCCATAGGGGATCAGTGGGGCGGGAGCCATTGGGGATCAGTGGGGCAGGACCCATAGGGGATCAGTGGGGCAGGAGCCATAGGGGATCAGTGGGGCGGGACCCATAGGGGATCAATGGGGCGGGACCCATAGGGGATCAGTGGGGGGGGACCCATAGGGTATCAGTGGGGCGGGACCCATAGGGGATCAGTGGGGCGGGACCCATAGGGTATCAGTGGGGCGGGAGCCATAGGGGATCAGTGGGGCGGGACCCATAGAACATCATTGGGGTGGAGATTGGGTCCATAGGGGATCAGTGGGGTGGGACCCATAGGGCAGCAGTGGGGTGGAGATTGGGACCCATAGAGCATCACTGGGGGGGGACCCACAGGCCATCAGTGGGGCAGGAGCCATAGGGGATCAGTGGGGCGGGAGCCATAGGGGATCATTGGGTTGATGGTGGTACCCATAGGACATCATTGGGGTGGGACCCATAGGACATCATTGGGGTGGGACCCATAGGGGATCAATGGGGCGGGACCCATAGGGGATCAGTGGGGCGGGACCCATAGAACATCATTGGAGTGGAGATTGGGACCCATAGAGCATCACTGGGGGGGGAACTCACAGGCCATCAGTGGGGCAGGACCCATAGGGGATCATTGGGTTGATGGTGGTACCCATAGGACATCATTGGGGTGGGACCCATAGGGGATCAGTGGGGTGGGACCCATAGAACATCATTGGAGTGGAGATTGGGACCCATAGAGCATCACTGGGGGGAGACCCACAGGCCATCAGTGGGGCAGGAGCCATAGGGGATCAGTGGGGCGGGACCCATAGGGGATCAGTGGGGCAGGACCCATAGGGGATCAGTGGGGCAGGACCCATAGGGGATCAGTGGGGCGGGACCCATAGAACATCATTGGGGTGGAGATTGGGTCCATAGGGGATCATTGGGGTGGGACCCATAGGGGATCAGTGGGGCAGGAGCCATAGGGGATCAGTGGGGAGGGACCCATAGGGGATCAGTGGGGCGGGAGACATAGGGGATCAGTGGGGCGGGACCCATAGAACATCATTGGAGTGGAGATTGGGACCCATAGAGCATCACTGGGGGGGGAACTCACAGGCCATCAGTGGGGCAGGACCCATAGGGGATCAGTGGGGCAGGACCCATAGGGGATCAGTGGGGCGGGACCCATAGGGGATCAGTGGGGCGGGACCCATAGGGGATCAGTGGGGCAGGACCCATAGGGGATCAGTGGGGCGGGACCCATAGGGGATCAGTGGGGTGGGACCCATAGGGCATCACTGTGTCTCTATGGGGTCTCTATAGGGTCTCTATAGGTCCCTATGGGTGCATACGGGTCTCTATGGGGTCTCTATGGGTCTCTATGGGTCCCAATGTGTTTCTATTGGTCTCTATGGGTCCCGCTATGGGTCGCTATGGGTCGCTATGGGTCCCAATGGGTTCCAATGTGTTTCTATTGTTCATTTTGGGTCTCTATGGTGTATCTATGGAGCCCAATGGGTCCCAATGGGGTCTCTATGTGTCTCTATGGGTCTCTATGGGTCCCTATGGGTCCCTATGGGTCTCTATGGGTCCCTATGGGTCTCTATGGGTCTCTATGGGTCCTGCTATGGGTCCCAATGGGTTCCAATGCGTTTCTATTGCTCCTTTTGGGTCTCTATGGTGTATCTATGGATCCCAATGGGTCCCAATGGGGTCTCTATGGGTCTCTATGGGTCTCTATGGGTCGCTATGGGTCTCTACGGGTCGCTATGGGCCCCAATGGGGTCTCTATGGGTCGCTATGGGTCCCGCTATGGGTCGCTATGGGTCTGACCTTGATGGTGGCGATGTGGAAGGGGGCGGCGATGCCGAAGACGGGCACGAGGACGCTCTCGTACTTCTTGTCTCTATGGGTCCCTATGGGTCCCTATGGGTCTCTATGGGTCTCTATGGGTCTCTATGGGTCTCTATGGGTCTCTATGGGTCCCGCTATGGGTCGCTATGGGTCTGACCTTGATGGTGGCGATGTGGAAGGGGGCGGCGATGCCGAAGACGGGCACGAGGACGCTCTCGTACTTCTTGTCTCTATGGGTCCCTATGGGTCTCTATGGGTCCCTATGGGTCTCTATGGGTCCCTATGGGTCTCTATGGGTCTCTATGGGTCCTGCTATGGGTCCCAATGCGTTTCTATTGTTCCTTTTGGGTCTCTATGGTCTATCTATGGATCCCAATGGGTCCCAATGGGGTCTCTATGGGTCTCTATGGGTCCCGCTATGGGTCGCTATGGGTCTGACCTTGATGGTGGCGATGTGGAAGGGGGCGGCGATGCCGAAGACGGGCACGAGGACGCTCTCGTACTTCTTGTCGATGAAGAGCTTGAGCTCGCGCACCGGCGCCTCCCGCGGCAGCAGCGCCGCGCTCCGGTACGACACGTTCGACTTGCGCGCCCTATGGGGCAGGACAGGGGGCGCCGTGGGGCAGAAACACCATGGATTTAGCCCAAAAACCCCATAGATTTAGCCCAAAAACCCATGGATTTAGCCCAAAAACTCATGGATTTAGCCCAAAACCCCATAGATTTAGCCCAAAAACTCAATCGACCCAATTGAGTCAATGGGAGAAGACCAAAACCCCACGGATTTACCCCAAAACCCCATAGATTTAGCCCAAAAACTCATGGATTTAGCCCAAAAACTCAATCGACCCAATTGAGTCAATGGGAGAAGACCAAAACCCCATGGATTTAGCCCAAAACCCCATAGATTTAGCCCAAAAACTCAATCGACCCAATTGAGTCAATGGGAGAAGACCAAAACCCCATGGATTTACCCCAAAACCCCATAGATTTAACCCAAAAACTCAATCGACCCCATTGAGTCAATGGGAGAAGACCAAAACCCAATGGAATGGACCCAAAACCCCATGGATTTAGCCCAAAACCCCATAGATTTAGCCCAAAAACTCAATCGACCCCATTGAATCAATGGATTTAGCCCAAAACCCCATGGATTTACCCCAAAACCCCATAGATTTAGCCCCAAAACTCAATTGACCCAATTGAGTCAATGGGAGAAGACCAAAACCCAATGGATTTAGCCCAAAACCCCATGGATTTAGCCCAAAACCCCATAGATTTAGCCCAAAAACTCAATCGACCCAATTGAGTCAATGGGAGAAGACCAAAACCCAATGGAATGGACCCAAAACCCCATGGATTTAGCCCCAAAACTCATAGATTTAGCCCAAAAACTCAATCGACCCAATTGAGTCAATGGGAGAAGACCAAAACCCCATGGATTTACCCCAAGATTTAGCCCCCTCATAGATTTAACCCAAAAACTCAATCGACCCAATTGAGTCAATGGGAGAAGACCAAAACCCCATGGATTTACCCCAAAACCCCATAGATTTAGCCCAAAAACTCAATCGACCCCATTGAGTCAATGGGAGAAGACCAAAACCCCATAGATTTAGCCCAAAACCCCACGGATTTACCCAAAAACCCCATAGATTTAGCCCCAAAACTCAATCGACCCAATTGAGTCAATGGGAGAAGACCAAAACCCCATAGATTTAGCCCAAAACCCCATGGATTTAGCCCAAAAACCCATAGATTTAGCCCCAAAACTCAATCGACCCAATTGAGTCAATGGGACAAGACCAAAACCCCATGGATTTACCCCAAAACCCCACAGATTTAGCCCAAAACCCCATAGATTTAGCCCAAAAACTCAATCGACTCCATTGACCCAATGGTAGACCCCCAACCCCATTGAATCTATGGGGCTTGTAGACCCCCATTGACTCAACAGGAGACCCCCATTGACCCAATGGTAGACCCCCATTGACCCAATGGTAGACCCCCATTGACCCACTGAATCTATGGGGCTGGTAGACCCCCATTGACTCAACTCTAGACCCCCATTAACTCAACCCTAGACCTCCATTGACTCAATACCCAAACCCCACTGAATCTATGGGGCAGGAAGACCCCCACTGAGTTGATGTAGACCCCAAACCCCATTGAATCTATGGGGCTGGTAGACCCCCACTGACTCAATGGTACAACTCTATTGACTCAATGGTAGACCCCCAACCCCACTGAATCTATGGGGCTAGTAGACCCCCACTGACTCAACAGGAGACCCCCATTGACTGAATGGTAGACCCCCATTGACCCACTGAATCTATGGGGCTGGTAGACCCCCATTGACTCAACGCTAGACCCCCATTGCCTCAACCCTAGACCTCCATTGCATCGATACCCAAACCCCATTGAATCTATGGGGCTTGTAGACCCCCATTGACTCAACAGGAGACCCCCATTGACCCAATGGTAGACCCCCATTGCCCCACTGAATCTATGGGGCTGGTAGACCCCCATTGACTCAACGCTAGACCCCCATTGACTCAACGTTAGACCCCCATTGCCTCAACCCTAGACCTCCATTGCCTCGATACCCCAAACCCCATTGAATCTATGGGGCTCGTAGCCCCTTTCCGGACGCTATGGGGCTGCTGCCCCCTTACTTATGGGTCCAGAACGGCCTCACCTCTGCACCTGCTGCTCCCCCTTCTGCTCGGTGAGCCGGCGCCGGGCCTCTTCGTTGAGTTGAGTGGCCAACTCCTTCTGGTGGGCCCGGCGCTTCTCCTCGGCCGTCAGCTCGTTCTATGGGGCGCCGTGGGGCAGAGCTCAGCGCTATGGGGCTGGCCCCATAGGGGGCCCGCTATGGGGTGAAAAGGGGGGGGATCGAACCCGCGTCCTCTCGGTGAGCAGGGCCGCGCGCGAGCTGCGCCCCAAGAGGTCTTCGGCCTCGTCCTTGGCCTCCTCTTCCTCGTCGTCGTCTTCGTTCTATGGGGCGGGAGGGGGGGAAATGGGGGGAAATTTGGGGAAATTTAGGGAAATTTGGGGAAATTTGGGGAAATTTGGGTGAAAATTGGGTGAAAATTGGGAATTTGGCACAAATTTGATGAAAATTCGAGGGGAATTGGTGGGATTTGGAGGGGGAACGGGGAAATTTGGACAAATTTTGGGGGTGAAATTGGGGAATTGGCATAAATTTTGGAGGGAATGGGGGAAAATTGGGTGAATTGGGACAGATTTTGGGGGGGAATGGGGGAAAATTGGGAATTTGGTGCAAATTTGACGCAAATTTGAGGGGAATTGGTGGGAATTTGAGGGGGAATGGGGAAAATTGGGACAAATTTGGGGGGAAATGGGGGGAAAATTGGGAATTTGGCACAAATTTGATGTGAATTTGAGGGGAATTGGTGGGAATTTGAGGAGGAACGGGCAAAATTGGGACAAATTTTGGGGAGAAATCGGGAAATTGACAAAAATTTGATGCAAAAGCGATGTTTCCCCGAAATTTTATGGGTTTTACCCCAAATTTGACGTTTTCGCCGCAAATTTCACATTTTCACCCCTATTTTGACATTTTTGCCCCAAATTTGACATTTCCGCCCAGATTTGATGTTTTCTCCCCAAATTTGACATTTTCACCCCAAAGCGATGTTTCCCCCAAATTTTTGGGTTTTACCCCAAATTTGATGTTTTCGCCCCAAATTCACATTTTCACCCCTGACATTTTCATGCCAAATTTGACATTTTCACCCCAAATTTGACATTTTCACCCCAAATTTGATGTTTTCTCCCCAAATTTGACATTTTCCCCCCAAATTTGACGTTTTCACCCCCAATTTGCTGTTTTTCACCCCACATTTGCTGTTTTTCACCCCAAAATTGCTGGTTTTCTCCCCACATTTGCTGTTTTTCTCCCCACATTTGCTGTTTTTCTCCCCAAATTTGCTGTTTTTCACCCCAAATTTGCTGTTTTTCACCCCAAATTTGCTGTTTTCTCCCCAAATTTGACGTTTTTCACCCCAAATTTGCTGTTTTTCACCCCAAATTTGCTGTTTTTCACCCCAAATTTGCTGTTTTTCACCCCAAATTTGACGTTTTTCACCCCAAATTTGCTGTTTTTCACCCCACATTTGCTGTTTTCTCCCCAAATTTGCTGTTTTCTCCCCAAATTTGACGTTTTCACCCCAAATTTGACGTTTTTCACCCCAAATTTGCTGTTTTTCACCCCACATTTGCTGTTTTCTCCCCAAATTTGCTGTTTTCTCCCCAAATTTGACGTTTTCACCCCAAATTTGACATTTTCACCCCAAATTTGCTGTTTTTCACCCCAAATTTGCTGTTTTTCTCCCCACATTTGCCGTTTTTCACCCCAAATTTGCTGTTTTCTCCCCAAATTTGCTGTTTTCTCCCCAAATTTGACGTTTTCACCCCAAATTTGACGTTTTCACCCCAAATTTGCTGTTTTCGCCCCACATTTGCTGCCCCCCCCCCGTGTGCCCCACTGCGGGCTCACCTTGAGGAAGATGCCCACGTTCTTCACCTTCTTCTTCACGGCCGTGAGCACCGTGGCCGGGCCCTCCTATGGGACACAGGGAATGTGGGGCGGGGATGTGGGGCGGGGATGTGGGGTGGGGATGTGGGGCAGGGATGTGGGGGATGGGGGGGGATGTGGGGCGGGGATGTGGGGGGGGATATAGAGGGGATGTGGGGGGGATGTGGGGGGGGATGTGGGGCGGGGATGTGGGGCGGGGATGTGGGGCGGGGATGTGGGGCGGGGATGTGGGGGGGATGTGGGGCGGGGATGTGGGGCGGGGATGTGGGGCGGGGATGTGGGGCGGGGATGTGGGGGGGGGATGTGGGGCGGGGATGTGGGGGGGGGTGGGGGGGGATGTGGGGTGGGGATGTGGGATTTAGGGGGGAAAATTTGGTGAAAAAATTAGGAATTTGGGGGGAATTTGGGGAAATTCGGTGAAAAATCAGGAATTTTGGGGGAATTTTTGGAAATTTGGGGGGAATTTGGGGAAATTCGGTGAAAAAAACAGGAATTTTGGGGGAAATTTTGGAAATTTGGGAGGGGAATTTGGGAAAATTTGGTGGAAAATTGGGAATTTTGAGTGGAAGTTTTGGAAATTTGGGGGAAAATTGGGAAAATTTGGTGGAAAATTGGGAATTTTGGGTGGAAGTTTTGGAAATTTTGGAGGAAATATGGAAAATTGGGGGAAATTTTGGAAATTTGAAGGGGAATCGGGAAATTTGGGGGGGAAATTAGGAAATTTTGAGGGAGATTGGGAAATTTTGGTGGGAATTTGGGGGAATGTGGGAATTTTGGGGAAAATTTGGGGATTTTGAAGGCGATTTGGGGGAAATTGGAAACATTTTGTGGAAAATTGGGAAGTTTGGGGGAAATAGAAAAAATTAAGTGAAAATATAGGGATTTTGGTGAGGAAAATTGGAAAATTTATTGGAAAAATTGTTGGAAAAATTGGAAAAAATCACTGAAAATTTGGGATTTTTGTGAATATGGGAATTTTGGAGGGAAATTTGGGAATTTGGGGGAATTGGAAATTTGAGAGGGGAATTGGAAAAATTTGCGGTAAAATTGGAAATTTGGGGGAAATTGGAAAATTTTGGTGAAAAATTGAAAATTTGGGGAAAGTCGGAAAAATTCAGTGAAAATTTAGAAATTTGGTGGAAATTGGGACTTTTTGAGGGAAATTTGGGAATTTTGGGGAAATTGAAACATTTCAGTGAAAAATTGGGGGAATTTGGGAATTTTTGGGGAAATTGGAAAATGGTGAATAATCGGGAATTTGGGGAAAATTGGATAATTTTTGGAGAAAATTGGGAATTTTGGGGGAATTTGTGAATTTGGGAGAAGTTGGAAATCTTTGGTAAAAAATTGGTAATTTTAGGAAAATCGAAAATTTGGGGGAATTGGAAAATTTGGGGGGAAATGAAAAGTTTAGGGGGAAAAGTGGAAATTTGGGGGGAGAATTGGGGTGAAAAAGGCCAATTTTGGGGTGAAAAACACCAATTTTGGGGTGAAAAAGGTCAATTTTGGGGCGAAAGAAGCCATTTTTGGGGTGAAAAAAGCCAATTTTGGGGTGAAAAAGGTCAATTTTGGGGTGAAAAGGGCCAATTTTGAGGTGAAAAGGTCAATTTTGGGGTGAAAAACACCAATTTTGGGGTGAAAAAAGCCAATTTCGGGGTGAAAAAAGCCAATTTTGGGTGTGAAATAGGCCAATTTTGGGGTGAAAAAGGGCGTTTTTGGGTCCGTGCTCACCCTTCTTGAGGCGCTGCTGGTTCTTGCTGTTGATGACCAAGGAGCCCTCGCGGAACTCGATGCCCATCGCGAACCTGGGGGGCAGCGCCCATAGGGTCTGATCCTGCCCCATAGAGACCCCATCCTGACCCATAGCGACCCCATCCTGACCCATAGAGACCCCATCCTGACCCATAGAGACCCCATCCTGACCCATAGCGACCCCATCCTGACCCATAGAGACCCGATCCTGCCCCATAGCGACCTGATCCTGACCCATAGAGACCCAATCCTGACCCATAGCGACCCCATCCTGACCCATAGAGACCCCATCCTGACCCATAGAGACCCATAGGGTCTGATCCTGCCCCATAGCGACCCCATCCTGACCCATAGCGACCCGATCCTGACCCATAGAGACCCAATCCTGACCCATAGGGTCTGATCCTGCCCCATAGCGACCCCATCCTGACCCATAGAGACCCCATCCTGACCCATAGAGACCCAGTCCTGACCCATAGAGACCCGATCCTGACCCATAGCGACCCCATCCTGCCCCATAGCGACCCCATCCTGCCCCATAGAGACCCGATCCTGACCCATAGCAACCCCATCCTGACCCATAGAGACCCCATCCTGACCCATAGAGACCCGATCCTGACCCATAGCGACCCGATCCTGCCCCATAGGGGCCCGATCCTGCCCCATAGGGGCCCGATCCTCCCCCATAGGGGCCTGATCCTGACCCAAAACAAACCCAATCCTGCCCCATAGGACCCAACCCTGCCCTATAGGACCCAACCCTGCCCTATAGGACCCGACCCTGCCCCATAGGGGCCTGATCCTGGCCCAAAACAAACCCAATCCTGCCCCATAGGACCCAACCCTGCCCTATAGGACCCAACCCTGCCCTATAGGACCCGATCCTGCCCCATAGGGGCCTGATCCTGATCTATAGGGCCCGATCCTGACCCAAAACGAACCCAATCCTGACCCAAACTGAACCCAATCCTGCCCCATAGGACCCAGTCCTGCCCCATAGGACCCAGTCCTGCCCCATAGGACCCAACCCTGCCCCATAGGACCCAGTCCTGCCCCATAGGACCCAAGTCTGCCCCATAGGACCCAGTCCTGCCCCATAGGGGTCCAATCCTGCCCCATAGGACCCAATCCTGCCCCATAGGACCCAATCCTGCCCCATAGGGGCCCGATCCTGATCTATAGGGCCCGATCCTGCCCCAAACTGAACCCAATCCTGCCCCATAGGACCCAATCCTGCCCCATAGCGACCCAATCCCGCCCCATAGCGACCCGCCCCTGCCCCATAGCGACCCGATCCTGCCCCATAGCGACCCGCCCCTGCCCCATAGCGACCCAATCCTGCCCCATAGCGACCCGATCCTGCCCCATAGCGACCCGCCCCTGCCCCATAGCGACCCGCCCCTGCCCCATAGCGACCCAATCCTGCCCCATAGCGCCCTGCCCCATAGCGCCCTGCCCCATAGCGCCCTGCCCCATAGCGCCCCGCCCCCTTACCCCAGGTTCTTGGTGATCTTGCCCAGCAGCTCCGGGCGCTGGCGCTTCACCACGTCCATGACGGCGCCGTAAACGTCACAGAGACGGGCGCCTATGGGGCGCAATGGGGGGCAATGGGGCTCAATGGGGCTCAATGGGGGTCAATGGGGGTCAATGGGGCGCAATGGGGGCAATGGGGCTCAATGGGGGTCAATGGGGGCAATGGGGGGTAATGGGGGGCAATGGGGGGCAATGGGGGCAATGGGGGGCAATGGGGGGTAATGGGGGGCAATGGGGGCAATGGGGTCAATGGGGATCAATGGGGCTCAATGGGGCTCAATGGGGCTCAATGGGGGTCAATGGGGCGCAATGGGGCGCAATGGGGGGCAATGGGGGGCAATGGGGGGCAATGGGGCTCAATGGGGGTCAATGGGGGGCAATGGGGCGCAATGGGGGGCAATGGGAGTCAATGGGGCGCAATGGGGATCAATGGGGCGCAATGGGGCACAATGGGGGTCAATGGGGGGCAATGGGGATCAATGGGGCGCAATGGGGCAGAAATGGGGCTCAATGGGGCGCAATGGGGAGCAATGGGGGTCAATGGGGCTCAATGGGGGTCAATGGGGGTCAATCAATGGGGGTCAATGGGGGTCAATGGGGATCAATGGGGATCAATGGGGGTCAATGGGGCGCAATGGGGCACAATGGGGGTCAATGGGGGTCAATGGGGATCAATGGGGGATAATGGGGGGCAATGGGGCGCAATGGGGCAGAAATGGGGCTCAATGGGGGGCAATGGGGGCAATGGGGGGCAATGGGGGGGGGGTCAATGGGGGGCAATGGGGCAATGGGGGGCAATGGGGGGCAATGGGGATCAATGGGGCGCAATGGGGATCAATGGGGGATAACGGGGGGCAATGGGGGGCAATGGGGGGCAATGGGGCAGAAATGGGGCTCAATGGGGGGCAATGGGGGCAATGGGGGCAATGGGGGGCAATGGGGGGCAATGGGGGTAATGGGGACAATGGGGGGCAATGGGGGGCAATGGGGGGCAATGGGGGGCAATGGGGCTCAATGGGGGTCAATGGGGCTCAATGGGGGCAATGGGGCTCAATGGGGGCAATGGGGCTCAATGGGGGTCAATGGGGCTCAATGGGGGCAATGGGGCTCAATGGGGGTCAATGGGGCTCAATGGGGCTCAATGGGGGTCAATGGGGGCAATTGGGTAATGGGGGGAATGAGGGAATGGGGGGCAATGGGGGTCAATGGGGTAATGGGGGGAATGGGGGCAATGGGGGGCAATGGGGGTCAATGGGGGGGTCAATGGGGGGCAATGGGGGCAATGGGGGGCAATGGGGGGCAATGGGGGGGCAATGGGGGGCAATGGGGGGCAATGGGGGGCAATGGGGGGCAATGGGGGGCAATGGGGGGGGGGGCAATGGGGGGTAATGGGGGCAATGGGGGGCAATGGGGGGCAATGGGGTCAATGGGGGGCAATGGGGGGCAATGGGGGGCAATGGGGGCCAATGGGGGCAATGGGGGGCAATGGGGGGCAATGGGGGCAATGGGGGGCAATGGGGGTCAATGGGGGGCAATGGGGGTCAATGGGGGTCAATGGGGGTCAATGGGGGCAATGGGGGCAATGGGGGCAATGGGGGGCAATGGGGGGCAATGGGGCTCAATGGGGGTCAATGGGGGTCAATGGGGCGCAATGGGGCACAATGGGGGGCAATGGGGCTCAATGGGGCTCAATGGGGGTCAATGGGGGGCAATGGGGATCAATGGGGGTCAATGGGGGGCAATGGGGGGGGGCAATGGGGGGCACTGGGGGGCAATGGGGGGCAATGGGGGGAGGGGGGGGGGAATGGGGGGCAATGGGGCAATGGGGGGGCAATGGGGGCAATGGGGGTCAATGGGGGCAATGGGGCGCAATGGGGGGCAATGGGGGGCAATGGGGCGCAATGGGGATCAATGGGGCTCAATGGGGATCAATGGGGATCAATGGGGCGCAATGGGGATCAATGGGGGTCAATGGGGGCAATGGGGCGCAATGGGGCTCAATGGGGGTCAATGGGGCTCAATGGGGGTCAATGGGGCTCAACGGGGCTCAATGGGGGTCAATGGGGGGCAATGGGGAGTCAATGGGGGGCAATGGGGGCAATGGGGGGCAATGGGGGACAATGGGGGAATTGGGGCAATGGGGGGCAATGGGGGCAATGGGGGGCAATGGGGGCAATGGGGGGCAATGGGGGGCAATGGGGGCAATGGGGGGCAATGGGGAGCAATGGGGGCAATGGGGATCAATGGGGGGCAATGGGGAGCAATGGGGAGCAATGGGGAGCAATGGGGGGCAATGGGGGCAATGGGGGGCAATGGGGAGCAATGGGGGGCAATGGGGGGGCCAATGGGGCACATGGGGGGCAATGGGGCTCAATGGGGCTCAATGGGGCGCAATGGGGCTCAATGGGGGTCAATGGGGCTCAATGGGGCTCAATGGGGGTCAATGGGGCTCAATGGGGCTCAATGGGGCGCAATGGGGGTCAATGGGGGTCAATGGGGCTCAATGGGGCGCAATGGGGGGCAATGGGGGGCAATGGGGAGCAATGGGGCAGCAATGGAGCTGTAATGGGGCTGCAATGGGGGGCAATGGGGCTGCAATGGGGTTGCAATGGGGGGCCAATGGGGGGCAATGGGGGTGAATGGGGGGCAATGGGGCGGCAATGGGGGGCAATGGGGGGCAATGGGGTCAATGGGGGTAATGGGGGGCAATGGGGGGCAATGGGGGCAATGGGGGTCAATGGGGCTCAATGGGGCGCAATGGGGGCAATGGGGGCAATGGGGCGCAATGGGGGCAATGGGGCAATGGGGGCAATGGGGCTCAATGGGGGGCAATGGGGGGCAATGGGGCGCAATGGGGCGGAAATGGGGCTCAATGGGGGGCAATGGGGGCAATGGGGCTCAATGGGGGGCAATGGGGCACAATGGGGGGCAATGGGGCACAATGGGGGGCAATGGGGGGCAATGGGGCACAATGGGGGGCAATGGGGCACAATGGGCGCAGTGGGGCGCAATGGGGCACAATGGGGGGCAATGGGGCACAATGGGGCACAATGGGGGGCAATGGGGCACAAGGGGGGGCACTAGGGGAATGGGGGCAATGGGGCACAATGGGGCACAATGGGGGGCAATGGGGCGCAATGGGGGGCAATGGGAGTCAATGGGGCGCAATGGGGATCAATGGGGGCAACGGGGATCAATGGGGGGCAATGGGGATCAATGGGGGCAATGGGGATCAATGGGGGGCAATGGGGCGCAATGGGGCGGAAATGGGGCTCAATGGGGGGCAATGGGGGCAATGGGGGCAATGGGGCGCAATGGGGGCAATGGGGGCAATCGGGCAATGGGGGGCAATGGGGAGCAATGGGGGGCAATGGGGGGCAATGGGGGCAATGGGGGGCAATGGGGGGCAATGGGGCACATGAGGGGCAATGGGGGCAATGGGGGGCAATGGGGTCAATGGGGGGCAATGGGGGCAATGGGGGGCGATGGGGGGCGATGGGGGTCAATGGGGGGCAATGGGGAGCAATGGGGGGCAATGGGGGGCAATGGGGGCAATGGGGGCAATGGGGGCAATGGGGGGCAATGGGGGGCAATGGGGGGCAATGGGGGGCAATGGGGGCAATGTGGGGCAATGTGGGGCAATGGGGGCAATGGGGAGCAATGGGGGGCAATGGGGGGGCCAATGGGGCACATGGGGGGCAATGGGGGGCACATGGGGGGCAAGGGGGGGCAATGGGACACAATGGGGGCAATGGGGGCAATGTGGGGCAATGGGGGGCAATGGGGGGCAATGGGGGCAATGGGGGGCAATGGGGGGCAATGGGGGACAATGGGGGGCAATGGGGGGCAATGGGGCACATGGGGGTCGGGGGGGGCAATGGGGGAATGGGGGGAAATGGGGGGCAATGGGGGACAATAAGGGGCAATGGGGGGGCCAATGGGGCACATGGGGGGCAATGGGGGGCAATGGGGCAATGGGGGCAATGGGGGGCAATGGGGGGCAATGGGGGGCAATGGGGGGCAATGGGGAGCAATGGGGGCAATGGGGGGGCAATGGGGGGCAATGGGATCAATGGGGGGCAATGGGGAGCAATGGGGGGCAATGGGGGGCAATGGGGGGCAATGGGGGGCAATGGGGGGCAATGGGGGGCAATGGGGGGCAATGGGGGCAATGGGGGACAATGGGGGGCAATGGGGGGCAATGGGGGCAATGGGGAGCAATGGGGGGCAATGGGGGCAATGGGGGGCAATGGGGGGCAATGGGGAGCAATGGGGGGCAATGGGGCGCATGGGGGGCAATGGGGGGCAATGGGGGGCAATGGGGGCAATGGGGGGGCAATGGGGGGCAATGGGGGGCAATGGGGGGCAATGGGGGACAATGGGGGGCAATGGGGGGCAATGGGGGGCAATGGGGTCAATGGGGGGCAATGGGGGGCAATGGGGGTCAATGGGCGGCAATTGGGGGCAATGGGGCGCAATGGGGGGCAATGGGGTCAATGGGGGTCGCAATGGGGCAGAAATGGGGTAAAACAGGAGAAAATGGGGTGAAAAGGGGGGAGAAATGGGCAAAAATGGGGAAAACGGAACAAAACAACCCCCATAGAGCCCCACAGACCCCATAGATCCTCATAGAAACCCCTTAGCCCCCCATATCCCCCCCATACTCCCCCATATCCCCCCATATCCACCCTATATCCCCCCATATCCACCCCATAGACCTGCATTTCCCCCCATATCCCCCCATACCCACCCCCATAGACCCCCATATCCCCCCCACAGACCCCCTCATACCCACCATACAGACCCCCATAGACCCCATACCCCCCCCCCGTACCCCCCCCCATGTCCCCCCATACCCACCCCACCCCCATAGACCCCCATAGAAACCCCATAGACACCCCATAGCCCCCCATAGACGCCCATAGACCCCCACAGACCCCCATAGAAACCCCATAGAGACCCCATAGACCCCCATAGAAACCCCATAGACCCCCATAGACCCCCACAGACCCCCATAGACCCCCATAGACACCCCATAGACACCCCATAGACCCCCATAAACACCCCATAGACCCCCATAGACACCTCATAGACCCCCCATAGACCCCCATAGAAACCCCATAGACACCCCATAGACACCCATATCCCCCCCATAGACCCCCATAGACCCCCATAGACACCCATAGACACCCCATAGACCCCATAGACACCCCATAGACCCCCATAGACACCCCATATCCCCCCATAGACACCCCATAGACACCCCATATCCCCCCCATAGACCCCCATAGCCACCCCATAGACCCCCATAGACACTCATAGACCCCCATAGTCCCCCATAGACACCCCATAGATCCCCCCATATCCCCCCCATATCCCCCCCATATCCACCCCCCATCCCCTCACCGGGCCGCATCTCCCTGAGGAGGCTCTCGTGGAGCAGGAGCAGGAAGGCGTAGAGCTCCTGAGCCTCGGCGCCGGGCTCCACCAGCAGCGTCCGCACCAGGTTGGAGCAGTAGGAGCGGTACCGCACCCCCATGGCGCACGTGATGGCCCCGAAGTGCAGCGCGTGGCGGTCACTGCCATGGGGCAGACCCACAGCGCTAGGGACGGCTGCCCCAGAGAATCTATGGGGCTGCCCCGGAGGATCCGGGCGGTTGACCCATAGGATCCGTGGGGCTGACCCATAGGATCTGTGGGGCTGACCCATAGGATCCGTGGGGCTGACCCATAGGATCCGTGGGGCTGACCCATAGGATGTGTGGGGCTGCCCCATAGAATCGATGGGGATGTGATATGGGATGTATGGGGCTGTCCTATGGGTATTATGGGGCTGCTCTATGGGGATCTGTGGGTCTGCCCCATAGGATCTGTGGGTCTGCCCCATAGAATCTGTGGGGCGGCCCCATAGAATGTGTGGGGCTGCAACATAGAATGTGTGGGGCTGCCCCATAGAATCCGTGGGGCTGACCCATAGAATCTGTGGGTCTGCCCCATAGAATGTGTGGGGCTGCCCCATAGAATCTATGGGTCTGCAGCATAGAATCTATGGGTCTGTCCTATGGGATGTATGGGGCTGCTCTGTGGGGACCTATGGTGCAGCTCTATGGGGATCTATGGGTCTGCCCCATAGAATCTGTGGGTCTGCCCCACAGAATCGGTGGGTCTGCCCCATAGAATCGGTGGGTCTGCCCCAGAGAATCCATGGGTCTGCCCCATAGAATCGGTGGGTCTGCCCCACGGAATGTGTGGGTCTGCCCCATAGAATCCGTGGGTCTGCCCCATAGAATCCGTGGGTCTGCCCCATAGAATCCGTGGGTCTGCCCCATAGAATCCGTGGGTCTGCCCCACGGAATGTGTGGGTCTGGTGCACGGAATGTGTGGGTCTGCCCCACGGAATGTGTGGGTCTGCCCCCTAGAATCCGTGGGTCTGCCCCATGGAATCCGTGGGTCTGCCCCACGGAATGTGTGGGTCTGCCCCACGGAATCGGTGGGTCTGGCGCACCTGACGACGCTGAACTTGAGGCTGTAGTGCCCCCCGCTCTGGATGATGGGGGGGTAGCAGAGCTCCACGGCGCCGGGGTCCGCGCCCCCCAAGTAGCGCTTGTCCTCGAGCGCCTGCTCCACCGCCTCGGCCAGCTTGCAGTGACGGACCTTCTGTGGGGGGAGGGGAAAACAGGGGGGGGGGGTTAAAATGGGGGGAAAAAGGGGGGTTTTGGGAAAAATGGGGCGGAAAAATGGGGAGTTTTGGGAAAAATGGGGGGAAAAATGGGGATTTTGGTAAAATGGGGGGAAAAATTGGGGGGATTTGGGTAAAAATGGGCGGAAAACAGGGAGTTTGGTTAAAGTGGGGTGAAAAATGGGGATTTTGGGAAAATGGGGTGGAAAATGGGGTGAAAAATGGGGGTTTTGGGGAAAAATGGGGGAAAAATGGGGGGTTTTGGGGAAAAATGGGGTGAAAAATGGGGAGTTTGGGGAAAAATATGGGGGTTTTGGGTAAAAATGGGGTGAAAAATGGGGAGTTTGGGGAAAAATGGGGTGAAAAAGGGGGGGGATTTGGGTAAAAATGGGGGGAAAATGGGGGGTTTGGGGAAAAATGGGGGTAAAAATGGGGGTTTTGGGAAAAGTGGGGGGAAAAAGGGGAAAACGGAGTTTGGTAAAAGTGGGGTAAAAAATGGGGAGTTTGGGGAAAAATGGGGGGAAAAATGGGGGTTTTGGGAAAAATGGGGGGAATAAACGGGGGGGATTTGGGGAAAAATGGGGGGAAAAACGGGGGTTTTGGAGAAAATGGGGGGAAAAATGGGGAGTTTTGGGAAAAATGGGGGGAAAAATGGGGGGAAAAAGGGGGTTTGGGGAAAAATGGGGGGAAAACAGGGAGTTTGGTTAAAGTGGGGTGAAAAATGGGGGGGATTTGGGTAAAAATGGGGGAAAACGGGGGTTTTGGGAAAAAGGGGGGAAAAATGGAGGTTTTGGTAAAAATGGGGCGGAAAACAGGGATTTTGGTAAAAATGGGGTGGAAAACGGGGGTTTTGGGGAAAAATATGGGGGTTTTGGGTAAAAATGGGGTGAAAAATGGGGATTTTGGGAAAAATGGGGTGAAAAAAGGGGAGTTTGGTAAAAATGGGGCGGAAAATGGGGGTTTTGGTAAAAATGGGGGGGAAAATGGGGGGAAAAATGGGGAGTTTTGGAGAAAAATGGGGTGAAAAATGGGGGGTTTGGGGAAAAATATGGGGTTTGGGTAAAAATGGGGTGGAAAACGGGGGGATTTGGGTAAAAATGGGGGGAAAACAGGGAGTTTGGGGAAAAATGGGGAGTTTGGGGAAAATGGGTGAAAAAAAAGGGGGGTTTGGGGAAAAATGGGGGGAAAATGGGGGGTTTTGGGGAAAATGGGGTGAAAAATGGGGAGTTTGGGGAAAAGGGTGAAAAACAGGGGATTTGGGTAAAAATGGGGGAAAAATGGGGGTTTCGGGGAAAAATGGGGGGAAAAGGGGGGGATTTGGGGAAAAATGGGGTGAAAAATGGGGGTTTTGGGTAAAAATGGGGGGAAAACAGGGAGTTTGGGGAAAATGGGGTGAAAAAAGGGGGTTTTGGGAAAAATGGGGGAAAAAATGGGGAGTTTGCGGAAAAATGGGTGAAAAATGGGGGTTTTGGGGAAAAATGGGAAAAATGGGGATTTTTGGAAATTGGGGTGAAAAATGGGGGGTTTTGGGGAAAAATATGGGGGTTTTGGGTGAAAAATGGTTGAAAAAATGGGGAGTTTGGGGAAAAATGGGGTGAAAAAATGGGGGATTTGGGTAAAAGTGGGGCGAAAAATGGGGGTTTGGGGAAAAATGGGGGAAAAAATGGGGGGATTTGGGTAAAAATGGGAAAAACGGGGAGTTTTGGGAAAAATGGGGCAGAAAACAGGGGGGATTTGGTAAAAATGGGGTGAAAAATGGGGGGTTTGGGGAAAAATGGGAAAAACAGGGGATTTGGGGAAAATGGGAAAAATGGGGGTTTTGGGGAAAAATATGGGGGAGTTTGGGGAAAAATGGGGGGAAAAGGGGGGGGTTGGGTAAAAATGGGGGAAAAAAGGGGGGGGTGGGAAAAATGGGGGGAAAAATGGGGGTTTTGGGGAAAAATGGGGGGAAAATGGGGGTTTTGGGGAAAAATGGGGCAGAAAACAGGAGGTTTTGGGTAAAAATGGGGGAAAAATGGGTGAAAAAATGGGGGTTTGGGGGAAAATGGGGTGAAAAAGGGGGGTTTTGGGGAAAATGGGGTGAAAACCAGGGAGTTTGGTTAAAATGGGGGGAAAAATGGGGGGTTTGGGGAAAAATGGGAAAAATGGGGGGTTTGGGGAAAAATGGGGTGAAAAACGGGGAGTTCGGTAAAAGTGGGGTGAAAAATGGGGGGGGTTGGGGAAAAATGGGGAGAAAAGAGGGAGTTTTGGGAAAAATGGGGGGAAAAACGGGGGGGATTTGGGTAAAAATGGGGGGAAAACAGGGAGTTTGGGGAAAAATGGGGTGAAAAATGGGGAGTTTGGTAAAAAATGGGGCATTTTGGTTAAAAATGGAGGGAAAAAAGGGGGATTTTGGGGAAAATGGGGGGAAAAGGATGGATTTGGGGTTGAAAAACAGCATTTTTGGAGTCCTGAGGTGGATTTGGGGTCGAAAAAAAGGTTTTTTTTGGGTCTTAGGATGAATTTTAGGTTGAAAAGCGGTGTTTTTGGTTCTTAGGATGGATTTTGGGTTGAAAACCAGCATTTTTGGGCTCCCAGGATGGATTTTGGGTTGAAAAAAAGGGTTTTTTGGGGTCCCGAGGTGGATTTTGGGTTGAAAAGGGGTGTTTTTGGGGTCCCGAGGTGGATTTTGGGTCGAAAAGGGGTGTTTTGGGGGTCCCGAGGTGAATTTTGGGTCGAAAAGGGGTGTTTTTGGGGTCCCGAGGTGGATTTTGGGTTGAAAAGCGGTGTTTTTGGGGTCCCGAGGTGGATTTTGGGTTGAAAAAAAGGTTTTTTTGGGGTTGAAGAGCGGCGGTTTTGGATCCCGAGGTGGATTTTGGGTTGAAAAAAAGGTTTTTTTTTGGGTTGAAAAGTGGTGTTTCGGGGTCTTAGGATGGATTTTGGGTTGAAAAGCGGTGTTTCTGGGGTCTTAGGATGGATTTTGGGTTGAAAAAAAGGTTTTTTTGGGGTCCCGAGGTGGATTTTGGGTTGAAAAGGGGTGTTTTTGGGGTCCCGGGGTGGATTTTGGGTTGAAAAAAAGGGTTTTTTGGGGTCCCGAGGTGGATTTTGGGTTGAAAAGTGGCGTTTTTGGGGCCGAAACCCGACCTCGTCGGCGTCGACGATCTCCATGACGCGCTCCTTGAAGAACTTGCTGAAGAGCTCGGAGGTGATGGCGGCGGCGCGGCGCATGAGCTGCAGCTCCCCCTCCTCCTTGGCTGCCATGGTGTAGGCCACGGCCGCGCTGATGTCCACCTGCACACAGGGGAAACCCCATGGTTGCCGTGGAAACCCCATTGAAACCCCATGGTTGCCGTGGAAACCCCATTGAAACCCCATCGTCGCCATGGAAACCCCATTGAAACCATGGAGACATCATCATCGCCATGGAGACCCCATTGAAACCCCATGGTCGCCATGGAAACCCCATTGAAACCCCATCGTCGCCATTGAAACCCCATTGAAACCCCATCGTCGCCATGGAAACCCCATTGAAACCCCATCGTCACCATGGAAACCCCATGGAAACCCCATCGTCACCATGGAAACCCCATTGAAACCCCATCGTCACCATGGAAACCCCATTGAAACCCCATCGTCGCCATGGAAACCCCATTGAAACCCCATCGTCGCCATGGAAACCCCATTGAAACCCCATCGTCGCCATGGAAACCTCATTGAAACCCCATAGTCACCATGGAAACCCCATTGAGACCCCATCGTCGCCATGGAAACCCCATTGAAACCCCATCGTTGCCATGGAGACCAGAGCATCACCATAGGGACCACACTGTTACCATGGAGACCCCATTGAAACCATGGAGACATCATCATCGCCATAGAGACCCCATTGAAACCTCATTGTCGCCATGGAAACCCCATTGAAACCCCATCGTCGCCATGGAAACCCCATTGAAACCCCATGGTTGCCATGGAAACCCCATTGAAACCCCATCATCGCCATGGAAACCCCATTGAAACCCCATCGTCGCCATGGAAACCCCATAGAAACCACATCGTCGCCATGGAAACCCCATGGAAACCCCATCGTCACCATGGAAACCCCATTGAAACCCCATCGTCGCCATGGAAACCCCATAGAAACCACATCGTCACCATGGAAACCCCATTGAAACCCCATCGTCGCCATGGAAACCCCATGGAAACCCCATCGTCGCCATGGAAACGCCATTGAAACCCCATCGTTGCCATGGAAACCCCATTGAAACCCCATCGTCGCCATGGAAACCCCATTGAAACCCCATCGTCGCCATGGAAATCCCATTGAAACCATGGAGACATCAGCATCGCCATGGAAACCCCATTGAAACCCCATCGTCGCCATGGAGACCCCAGCATCACCATAGGGACCACACAGTTACCATAGAGACCCCATTGAAACCCCATCGTCGCCATGGAAACCCCATCGAAACCCCATCGTCACCATGGAAACCCCATTGAAACCATGGAGACATCATCATCGCCATGGAAACCCCATTGAAACCCCATGGTTGCCATGGAGACCCCATTGAAACCACATCGTCGCCATGGAGACCACAGCATCACCATAGGGACCACACTGTTACCATGGAGACCCCATTGAAACCCCATGGTTGCCATGGAAACCCCATTGAAACCCCATCGTCGCCATGGAAACCCCATTGAAACCCCATCGTCGCCATGGAAACCCCAGTGAAACCCCATCGTCGCCATGGAAACCCCATTGAAACCCCATCGTCGCCATGGAAACCCCACTGAAACCCCATCGTCGCCATGGAAACCCCATTGAAACCCCATCGTCGCCATGGAAACCCCATTGAAACCCCATCGTCGCCATGGAAACCTCAGCATCACCATAGGGACCACACTGTTACCATGGTAACCCCATTGAAACCCCATGGTTGCCATGGAAACCCCACTGAAACCACATCGTCGCCATGGAAACCTCAGCATCACCATAGGGACCACCCTGTTACCATGGAGACCGGATTGAAACCCCATGGTTGCCATGGAAACCCCACTGAAACCCCATCGTCGCCATGGAAACCCCATTGAAACCCCATGGTTGCCATTGAAACCCCATCGTCGCCATGGAAACCCCATTGAAACCCCATCGTCGCCATGGAAACCCCATTGAAACCCCATGGTTGCCGTGGAAACCCCATGGAAACCCCATCGTCACCATGGAAACCCCATTGCAACCCCATCGTCGCCATGGAAATGCCATTGAAACCCCATGGTTGCCATGGAAACCCCATTGAAACCCCATCGTCGCCATGGAAACCTCAGCATCACCATAGGGACCACACTGTTACCATGGAGACCCCATTGAAACCCCATGGTTGCCATGGAGACCCCACTGAATCCATGGAGACATCATCATCTCCATGGAGACCCCACTGAAACCCCATCGTCGCCATGGAGACCACAGCATCACCATAGGGACCACAGTGTTACCATGGAGACCCCATTGAAACCCCATCGTCGCCATGGCGACCCCATTGATGCTATGGAGACCCCATTGAAACCATAGGGACATCATCGTCGCCATGGAGACCCCATTGAAACCCCATCGTCGCCATGGAAACCCCAGCATCACCATAGGGACCACACTGTTACCATGGCAATCCCATTGAAACCCCATCGTCGCCATGGAGACCCCACTGAATCCATGGAGACATCATCGTCGCCATGGCGACCCCATTGATGCTATGGAGACCCCATTGAAACCATAGGGACATCATCGTTGCCATGGAGACCCCATCGTCACCATGGCAACCCCATTGAAACCCCATCGTTGCCATGGAGACCCCATTGATGCCCTGATGGTCCCACTGACCCCACTGATGCCCCGATGGTCCCATTGACCCCATTGATGCCCTGATGACCCCATTGATGCCCTGAAGGTCCCATTGACCCCATTGATGCTCTGATGGTCCCATTGACCCCATTGACCCCCTGTTGGTCCCATTGACCCCATTGATGCTCTGATGACCCCACTGACCCCCTGATGGTCCCATTGACCCCATTGACGCCCCGATGGTCCCATTGACCCCATTGATGCTCTGATGACCCCACTGACCCCCTGATGGTCCCATTGACCCCACTGATGCCCTGATGACCCCATTGACCCCCTGATGGTCCCATTGACCCCATTGATGCCCTGATGGTCCCACTGACCCCACTGATGCTCTGATGGTCCCATTGACCCCCTGTTGGTCCCATTGACCCCATTGATGCCCCAATGGTCCCATTGACCCCATTGACGCCCCGATGGTCCCATTGACCCCATTGATGCTCTGATGACCCCACTGACCCCCTGATGGTCCCATTGACCCCACTGATGCCCTGATGACCCCATTGACCCCCTGATGGTCCCATTGACCCCATTGATGCCCTGATGGTCCCACTGACCCCACTGATGCTCTGATGGTCCCATTGACCCCCTGTTGGTCCCATTGACCCCATTGATGCCCCAATGGTCCCATTGACCCCATTGATGCCCCGATGGTCCCATTGACCCCATTGATGCTCTGATGGTCCCATTGACCCCATTGATGCCCTGATGACCCCACTGATGCCCTGATGACCCCACTGATGCCCTGATGGTCCCATTGACCCCATTGATGCCCCGATGGTCCCATTGACCCCATTGATGCTCTGATGGTCCCATTGACCCCATTGATGCCCCGATGGTCCCATTGACCCCACTGATGCCCTGATGACCCCATTGACCCTCTCATGGTCCCATTCACCCCACTGATGCCCCAATGGTCCCATTGACCCCATTGACGCCCCAATGGTCCCATTGACCCCATTGATGCCCTGATGACCCCACAGATGCTCTGATGGTCCCATTGATGCTCTGATGACCCCATTGACGCCCCGATGGTCCCATTGACCCCATTGATGCCCTGATGACCCCACTGATGCCCTGATAGTCCCATTAACCCTACTGACGCCCCGATGGTCCCACTGATGCTCTGATGGTCCCATTGACCCCACTGACGCCCCGATGGTCCCATTGACCCCATTGATGCCCTGATGACCCAACTGATGCCCTGATGGTCCCATTGATGCCCCGATGACCCCATTGATGCCCTGATGGTCCCATTAACCCCACTGACGCCCCGATGGTCCCACTGATGCTCTGATGGTCCCATTGACCCCACTGACGCCCCGATGGTCCCACTGACCCCATTGATGCTCTGATGACCCCATTGATGCCCTGATGGTCCCATTGATGCTGTGATGACCCCATTGACCCCCTGATGGTCCCATTGACCCCATTAATGCCCTGATGACCCCATTGATGCCCTGATGACTCCACTGATGCTCTGATGACCCCACTAACGCCCCGATGGTCCCACTGATGCCCCGATGGTCCCATTGACCCCACTGACGCCCCGATGGTCCCACTGATGCCACGGCCGCCCCACAGCCGCCCCCCCTCACCTTGTCGAAGGCCTCCTTGCTGAGGCAGTCGTTCCAGGCTCGCAGGAAGTCCCCCGGGAAGTGGTCCTTGGCGAAGACCCCCAAGCGCTTCCCCCCACGGCTGCCCCGGAGGGCCTCGATCAACCGCTCAAAGTTGGCCTGGTTGCTCTCCGTCTGTGGGGCAGGGAGGGGGGGGTCACCATGGAGACCCCATCGTCACCATGGAGACATCAGCATCACCATGGAGACCCCATTGATGCCATGGAGACCCCATCGTCACCATGGAGACATCAGCATCACCATGGAGACCCCATTGATGCCATGGAGACCCCATCGTCACCATGGAGACATCAGCATCACCATGGAGATCCCATTGATGCTATGGAGACCCCATTGATGCTATGGAGACCCCATCGTCACCATGGAGACCCCATTGATGCTATGGAGACCCCATCGTCACCATGGAGACATCAGCATCACCATGGAGACCCCATTGATGCCATGGAGACCCCATCGTCACCATGGAGACATCAGCATCACCATGGAGACCCCATTGATGCCATGGAGACCCCATCGTCACCATGGAGACATCGGCAACACCATGGAGACCCCATTGATGCTATGGAGACCCCATTGTTGCCATGGAGACCCCATCGTCACCATGGAGACCCCATTGATGCTATGGAGACCCCATCGTCACCATGGAGACATCAGCATCACCATGGAGACCCCATTGTTGCTATGGAGACCCCATTGTTGCCATGGAGACCCCATTGATGCCTTGATGGTGCCATTGAAAGGCCTCCATTGACCCCCCCATACCCCCCCATTGCTGCCCCGCTGACCCCCCATAGCCCCCCATAGAACCCCCTATAACGCCCCCATTGAACCCCCCATAACCCCCCATAGAGCCCCATTGCCCCCCCATTGCCCCCTATAACCCCCCCATAGAACCCCCTATAACACCCCCACTGAACCCCCCATAACCCCCCCATTCCTCCCCCATTCCCCCCATAGAGCCCCATTTCTCCCCCCATAACCCCCCATTAAAACCCCCATTTACCCCCCATAACCCCCCCATTTCACCCCCTATTTCCCCCCATTGAACCCCCCATAACCCCCCCATTGCCCCCCTATTCCTCCCCCATAACCCCCCCATTTCACCCCCTATTTCCCCCCATTGAACCCCCCATAACCCCCCCATTGCCCCCCTATTCCTCCCCCATAACCCCCCCATTTCCCTCCCCATTTCCCCCCATTTCCCCCCCCATTTCCCCCCCCGTTGCCCCCCACCTTCTCCCTGACGAGCAGGCTGATGGTGGGGACCCCGTTGCCCCCCTCGGCCCCCTTGCCCGGGGCCACCTGCTTCAGGAACTCCACCTTCTTCTTGCTGGCCAGGAGCAGGATGCGCTGGGCGCAGAACACCATGATGGTGTCGGTCAGCTCGTAGCCAAAGAGCCACGTCTGGGGGGGGGGAGAGAGAAAACGGCATGAAATGGACCCAAAATGGGGGGAAATGGACCCAAAACGGGCTGAAACGGACCCAAAATGGGGGAAATGGACCCAAAATGGGCTGAAACGGACCCAAAATGGGCTGAAACGGACCAAAAATGGGCTGAAACGGACCCAAAATGGGCTGAAACGGACCCAAAATGGGCTGAAACGGACCCAAAATGGGCTGAAACGGACCCAAAATGGGCTGAAATGGACTCAAAATGGGCTGAAATGGACCCAAAATGGGGGAAATGGACACAAAATGGGTTGAAATGGACCAAAAATGGGGGAAATGGACACAAAATGGGGGGAAATGGACACAAAATGGGCTGAAATGGACCAAAAATGGGGGAAATGGACCCAAAATGGAGGGAAATGGACCCAAAATGGGCTGAAAAGGACCCAAAATGGGCTGAAACGGACCCAAAATGGGCTGAAATGGACTCAAAATGGAGGAAATGGACCAAAAATGGGGGGAAATGGACACAAAATGGGCTGAAATGGACCAAAAATGGGGGAAATGGACACAAAATGGGGGGAAATGGACACAAAATGGGCTGAAATGGACCCAAAATGGGGGGAAATGGACACAAAATGGGCTGAAATGGACCAAAAATGGGGGAAATGGACACAAAATGGGGGGAAATGGACCCAAAACTGCCTGAAACGGACCCAAAACAGGCTGAAATGGACACAAAATGGGCTGAAATGGACCCAAAATGGGCTGAAATGGACCTAAAATGGGCTGAAACGGACACAAAATGGGCTGAAATGGACCCAAAATGGGGGAAATGGACCCAAAATGGGCTGAAATGGACCTAAAATGGGGGAAATGGACACAAAATGGGGGAAATGGACACAAAATGGGCAGAAATGGACCCAAAACTGCCTGAAATGGACCCAAAATGGGCTGAAATGGACCCAAAATGGGCTGAAATGGACCTAAAATGGGGGAAATGGACCCAAAATGGGGGAAATGGACACAAAACTGCCTGAAATGGACCCAAAACTGCCTGAAATGCACCCAAAATGGGCTGAAACGGACCCAAAATGGGCTGAAACGGACCCAAAACTGCCTGAAACGGACCCAAAATGGGCTGAAACGGACCCAAAATGGGCTGAAACGGACCCAAAATGGGCTGAAATGGACCCAAAATGGGCTAAAATGGACCCAAAATGGGGGGAAATGGACCCAAAATGGGCTGAAATGGACCCAAAATGGGCTGAAATGGACCCAAAATGGGGGGAAATGGACCCAAAATGGGGGGAAATGGACCCAAAATGGAGGAAATGGACCCAAAATAGGGGGAAATGGACCCAAAATGGGCTGAAATGGACCCAAAATGGGGGAAATGGACCCAAAATGGGGGGGACCCAAAATGGGCTGGACCCAAAATGGGGGAAATGGACCCAAAATGGGCTGAAACGAACCTAAAATGGGGGAAATGGACACAAAATGGGGGGAAATGGACCCAAAATGGGGGAAATGGACACAAAATGGGGGGGAATGGACCCAAAATGGGGGGAAATGGACCCAAAATGGGGGAAATGGACCCAAAATGGAGGGAAATGGACCCAAAATGGAGGAAATCGACCCAAAATAGGGGAAATGGAGCCAAAATAGGGGGAAATGGACCCAAAATGGGCTAAAATGGACCCAAAATGGGGGAAATGGACCCAAAATGGGGGAAATGGACCCAAAATGGGGGGAAATGGACCCAAAATGGGCTGAAATGGACCCAAAATGGGGGAAATGGACCCAAAATGGGGGAAATGGACCCAAAATGGGGGGGAATGGACCCAAAATGGGGGAAATGGACCCAAAATGGGGGGAAATGGACCCAAAATGGGGGAAATGGACCCAAAATGGGGGAAATGGACCCAAAATGGGGGAAATGGACCCAAAATGGGGGGAAATGGACCCAAAATAGGGGAAATGGACCCAAAATGGGGGAAATGGACCCAAAATAGGGGAAATGGACCCAAAAAATGGACCCAAAATGGGGGAAATGGACCCAAAATGGGGGAAATGGACCCAAAATGGGGGAAATGGACCCAAAATGGACCCAAAATGGGGGAAATGGACCCAAAATGGGGGGAAATGGACCCAAAATGGGGGAAATGGACCCAAAATGGGGGAAATGGACCCAAAATGGGGGAAATGGACCCAAAATGGGCTGAAACGGACCCAAAATGGGGGAAATGGACCCAAAATGGGGGGGAATGGACCCAAAATGGGGGAAATGGACCCAAAATGGGGGAAATGGACCCAAAATGGGGGAAATGGACCCAAAATGGGGGGAAATGGACCCAAAATGGGGGGAAATGGACCCAAAATGGGCTAAATTGGACCCAAAATGGGGAAAATGGACCCAAAATGGGGGAAATGGACCCAAAATGGGGGAAATGGACCCAAAATGGGGGGAAATGGACCCAAAATGGGGGAAATGGACCCAAAATGGGGGGAAATGGACCCAAAATGGGGGGAAATGGACCCAAAATGGGGGGAAATGGACCCAAAATGGGGGAAATGGACCCAAAATGGGGGAAATGGACCCAAAATGGGGGGAAATGGACCCAAAATGGGGGGAAATAAACCCAAAATGGGGGAAATGGACCCAAAATGGGGGGAAATGGACCCAAAATGGGGGAAATGGACCCAAAATGGGGGAAATGGACCCAAAATGGGGGAAATGGACCCAAAATGGGGGAAATGGACCCAAAATGGGGGGGAATGGACCCAAAATGGGGGAAATGGACCCAAAATGGGGGGAAATGGACCCAAAATGGGGGGGAATAATCCCAAAATGGGGGGAAATGGACCCAAAATGGGCTAAAATGGACCCAAAATGGGGAAAATGGACCCAAAATGGGGGAAATGGACCCAAAATGGGCTGAAATGGACCCAAAATGGGGGAAATGGACCCAAAATAGGGGAAATGGACCCAAAATGGGGGGAAATGGACCCAAAATAGGGGAAATGGACCCAAAATGGGGGAAATGGACCCAAATTCAGCTAAAATGGACCCAAAATGGAGGGAAATGGACCCAAAATGGGGGAAATGGACCCAAAATGGGGGAAATGGACCCAAAATGGGCGGAAACGGACCCAAAATAGGGGGGTTTTCCCCCCAAAGTGGTGGTTTTTTACCCAAAACCATGGGTTTTTACCCCAAAACGACATTACACCCCAAAATGTTGTTTTCCACCCCAAAATGACAGCTTTTGCCCCAAAATGGTGGCGTTTTGCCCCAAAATGGTGGGGTTTTCCCCAAAATGACATTTTTGGCCCCAAAATGCTGGTTTTAACCCCAAAATGACGTTTTTCCCCCCAAATGGTGTGGGTTTTGCCAGAAAATGATGACTTTTTTGCCCCAAAATGACGATTTTTGACCCAAAAATGATGTTTTTTTTCCCTTAAATGTCATTTTTTGCCCCAAAATGAAGTTCCCCCCCTAAAATGCCGGTTTTTGCCCCAAAAATGTCATTTTTTTGGCCCTTAAAATGATGGTTTTTGCCCCAAAAGGTCTTTTTTCCCCAAAAGCCATTTTTTTGCCCCAAAACACCATTTTTTGCCAGAAAATGCTGTGGGTTTGCCACAAAAAGTCTTTTTTTTTCCCAAAAAATGTTTTTTTTGCCCCAAAATGCCATTTCTTCTCCAAAAAATGTCTTTTTTTGCTGCAAAATGGTGGCTTTTGCCCCAAAAATTCCAGTTTTTGTCCCCAAAGATGTTTTTTTTCCCCAAAATGTCATTTTTTTCCCAAAAATGTCTTTTTTTGCCCCAAAATATCTTTTTTTTCCCAATAATGTCTTTTTTCAAATAAAAATGGTTTTTTTTACCCCAAAAAGCCATTTTTTGCCCCCAAATGATGGGAGATTTTCCCAAAAATGTTTTTTTTTCCAAAACATCGTTTTTTTGCCCCAAAAATACCTTTTTTTCCAAAAATGTCTTTTTTCCAAAAAATGCTGGTTTTTTTGCCCCAAAATGCCATTTTTTGCCATCAAATTTTTTTTTTTCAAAAATGTCTTTTTTTGCCCCAAAACCCTGATTTTTTTTTCCCAAAAAGTCATTTTTTGCCCAGAACTGTCATTTTTTCCCCCAAAATGCTGTCTTTTTTTCCCCAAACCATCATTTTTTCCCCAAAACTGTCATTTTTTCCCCAAAAAAGCTGTTGCTTTGCCCCAAATCGTCCTTTTCTCCCCCAAAATGCTGTTGTTTTGCCCAAAACCACCATTTTTTGCCCAAAAATGTCATTTTTTCCCAAAATGCTGGTTTTTTGCCCAAACCGTCATTTTTTTTTCCCAAAACCATCATTTTTTGCCCAAAAATGTCATTTTTTGCCCCAAAATGCTGGTTTTTTTTTCCCAAACCATCATTTTGTGCCCAAACCATCATTTTTTGCCCAAACCATCATTTTTTGCCCCAAACCACCATTTTTTGCCCAAACCCGTCATTTTTTGCCCAAAAATGTCATTTTTTTTCCCCAAAATGCTGGGTTTTTTTTGCCCAAACCATCATTTTTTGCCCAAACCATCATTTTTTGCCCAAAAATGTCACTTTTTTCCCCCAAAATGCAGGGTTTTTTGCCCAAACCATCATTTTTTGCCCAAAACCGTCATTTTTTCCCCAAAAAAGCTGTTTTTTTCCCCAAAACCATCATTTTTTTGCCCCAAAATGCTGTTTTCTTCCCCCAAACCATCATTTTTTTTGCCCAAAAATGTCATTTTTTCCTCAAAAAGCTGTTGTTTTGCCCAAAAATGTCATTTCTTGCACCAAAATGCTGGTTTTTTCGCCCAAACCATCATTTTTTTGCCCAAAACCATCATTTTTGCCCAAAACCGTTATTTTTTTCCCCCAAAAAGCTGTTTTTTTGCCCAAAAATGTCATTTTTTGCCCCAAAATGCTGTTTTTTTCGCCCAAACCATCATTTTTTGCCCAAACCCGCCGTTTTTTGCCCCAGCCTCACCTGCAGCGCCGTGGACTTGGCGTACACGACCTCCTCGTCCACCCCCACGGCCACCACGATGGCGTCCACGGCGCCCAGCTCCTCCTCCCCGCGCTGGGGGGCAAGGTTGGGGGTCAGAGACCCACAGAGACCCATAGAGACCCATAGGGACCCATAGAGACCCATAGGGACCCATAGAGACCCATAGGGACCCATAGAGACCCATAGGGACCCATAGAGACCCATAGAGAGACCCATAGACCCATAGAGACCCATAGAGACCCACAGACCCATAGGGACCCATAGAGAACCCATAGGGACCCATAGAGACCCATAGGGACCCATAGAGACCCATAGAGACCCCATAGGGACCCATAGGGACCCATAGAGACCCATAGGGACCCATAGAGACCCATAGGGACCCATAGAGACCCATAGAGACCCATAGAGACCCCATAGAGACCCATAGAGACCCATAGGGACCCATAGAGACCCCATAGGGACCCATAGAGAACCCATAGGGACCCATGGAAACCCCATAGAGACCCACAGCACCCTATAGACCTCCTATAGCCACCCATAGCCCCCCCCCCGCCCCTTTAGCCCCTTTGCACCCCATAGAACCGCACAGCCCCCCATAGAACTGCATAGAACCCCTCAGCCCCTATAGAGCCCCATAGCCCCCCATAGAACCCCATAGAGCCCCATAGCCCCCCATAAACGCCCCATAGAGCCCCATAGCCCCCCATAAACGCCCCATAGAGCCCCATAGCCCCCCATAGAACCCCATAGAGCCCCACAGACCCCCATAGAGCCACCATTTAGGTCACTCCCCCCTCATAACCCTGCACAGCTCCCCATAGACGCCTATACCGCCCCATAGCCACCCCATAGACCCCTATAGCCACCCCATAGCCACCCCATAACCCCCCCATATCCACCCCATAGCCACTCCCCACACCCCCCCACACCCGCCCCATAGCGCCCCACACCCCCCCTCTCCCTTCCTCACCTCACAACCCCACAGGCCGCCATTACCCCCTCTCTCCCCCACAACCCCACATAACCCCCCCATAGACCCCCCCATAGCCACCCCATAGCCACCCCATAGACACCCCATAGCGCCCCACACCCCCCCTCCCCCTTTCTCCCCTCACAACCCCACAGGCCGCCATTACCCCCTCTCTCCCTCACAACCCCCCATAACCCCCCCCATAGCGCCCCATATCCACCCCATAGACCCCCATATCCACCCCATAGACCACCATAGACACCCCATAGATCCCCCACACCCGCCCCATAGCGCCCCACACCCCCCCTCCCCCTTTCTCCCCTCACAACCCCACAGGCCACCATTACCCCCTCTCTCCCTCACAACCCCCCATAGCGCCCCATAACCACCCCATAGCGCCCCATAACCACCCCATAGACTCCCCATAGCCACCCCCACACCCCCCCATACCCGCCCCATAGCGCCCCACACCCCCCCTCTCCCTTCCTCCCCTCACAACCCCACAGGCCGCCATTACCCCCTCTCTCCCTCATAACCCCCCGATAACCCCCCCATAGCGCCCCATAGCCACCCCATAGACCCCCATAGACACCCCATAGACCCCCTATATCCACCCCATAGCGCCCCACACCCCCCCTCCCCCTTTCTCCCCTCACAACCCCACAGGCCGCCATTACCCCCTCTCTCCCCCATAGCCCCATAACATAACCCCCCCACAGACCCCCATATCCACCCCATAGACACCCCATAGCGCCCCATATCCACCCCACAGACCCCTATAGACACCCCATAGACCCCCTATATCCACCCCATAGCGCCCCACACCCCCCCTCCCCCTTTCTCCCCTCACAACCCCACAGGCCGCCATTACCCCCTCTCTCCCTCATAGCCCCACATAACCCCCCCATATCCACCCCATATCCACCCCATAGCGCCCCATATCCGCCCCATATCCGCCCCATATCCGCCCCATAGCGCCCCACACCCACCTCCCAGGTGCCATAGAGCCGCCGGAGCCGCCGGTAGAGCGCGTCCCTATCGAGGCTGAGCGCCATTGAGCGGCGGGACCCGGAAGTGATGGCGCCGCACGCACTTCCGCTTCCGCTTCGCACCCGGAAGGAGGGAGAGGTCACGTGGGGGGGGGAGCGCGGGAAAGGCGGCGCCCTCTGGTGGATGGCGTGAGGGGATCGGTGACGTCAGCAGGTAATTAGTGACGTAATTAGTGACGTCGGGACTTAATTAGTGACGTCGGGACGGAATTGGTGACGTCGGGACGTAATTAGTGACGTTGTGAGGTAATTAAGTGACGTGGGGTAATAAAGTGACGTCGTGGGGTAATTAGTGAGGTAATTAGTGACGTTGTGAGGTAATTAAGTGATGTCGGGAGGTAATTAGTGACGTCGGGGGTAATTAGTGAGGTAATTAGTGACGTCGGGAGGTAATTAAGTGATGTTGTGAGGTAATTAAGTGACGTGGGGTAATAAAGTGACGTCGTGGGGTAATTAGTGAGGTAATTAGTGACGTTGTGAGGTAATTAAGTGATGTCGGGAGGTAATTAGTGACGTCGGGGGTAATTAGTGAGGTAATTAGTGACGTCGGGAGGTAATTAAGTGACGTCGGGGGGTAATTAGTGACGTCGTGAGGTAATTGGTGAGGTAATTAGTGACGTGGTGAGGTAATTAAGTGATGGGGTAATTAGTGAGGTAATTAGTGACGTCATGAGGTAATTAAGTGACATAGTGAGGTAATTAAATGACATCGTGGGGTAATTAGTGAGGTGATTAGTGACGTGAGGTAATTAAGTGATGTGGGGTAATTAGTGAAGTAATTAGTGACGTCGGGAGGTAATTAAGTGACGAAGTGAGGTAATTAAGTGATGTCGTGGGGTAATTAGTGAGGTAATTAGTGAAGTGGTGAGGTAATTAAGTGATGTCATGAGATAATTAAGTGACATTGTGAGGTAATTAAATGAAATCGTGGGGTAATTAGTGAGGTGATTAGTGACGTGAGGTAATTAAGTGATGTGGGGTAATTAGTGAGGTAATTAGTGACGTCGGGAGGTAATTAAGTGACGTGGGGTAATTAAGTGATGTCATGAGGTAATTAAGTGACATTGTGAGGTAATTAAATGACATCGTGGAGTAATTAGTGAGGTAATTAGTGACGTGGTGAGGTAATTAAGTGATGGGGTAATTAGTGAGGTAATTAGTGACATGGTGGGGTAATTAATTGACATCATGGGGTAATTAGTGATGGTGGGGAAGGGGTGGGGGTTAATTAATGGGTTAATTAATAAGGGGTTAATGGGGGAATTAGTGAGGGGATGATGAATGAGGGGTAATTAATGAGGGGGTGATTAATAAGGGGGTTAATGGGGGGAATGAATGAAGGGGGTTAATGAACGGAGCAATTAATGGGGGAAGGGGGTTAATGAAGGGGGGAATTAATAGGGGAGTTAATGAACGGAGCAATTAATGAAGGGATTGATTAATCAGGGGGTTAATGAAGAGGTAATTAAGGAAGGAATTAATAGGGGAGTTAATGAAAGGGGAATTAATGAAGGGATTGATTAATCAGGGGGTTAATGAAGAGGTAATTAAGGAAAGAATTAATACAGGAGTTAATGAAAGGGGAGTTAATGAAGGGATTGATTAATAAGGGGGTTAATGGGGGGATTAATAAGGGGGTTGAAGAGGGCTTAATTAATATGGGGGTTAATGAGGAGTAATTAATGGAGTAATAAGGGGGTTTAATGGGGGTAATTAATGAGGGGTTGACTAATGAGGGCATTAATGGGGGTAATAAATGAAGGAATTAATAAGGGGGTTAATGGGGGGAATTAATGAGGGATTGATTAATAAGGGGGTTAATGAGGGGGAATCAAGGAGGGGTTGATTAAGGAGGGGTTAATGGTGTAATTAATGAAGGAGTTAATGAGGGGGTTAATGCGGGGTAATTAATGGATTAATTAATAATTAGGGGTAATTGATGAAGGGATTAATTGATAAGGGGTTAATGAAGGAGTAATTAATGAAGGGGTTGAGAAAGGGATTAATGAGGGTGTTAATAATCGAGTTAATAAAGGGGTAATTAATGGGGCGATTAATAAGGGGGTTAATTAATGTAGGGGTTAATGAGGGGTTGTTAATGAAGGGTTTGATTAATAAGGGGGTTAATGGGGGGTAATGGATAAAGGGAGTTCACAAAGGGGCAATTAAGGGAGGGATTAATTAATAAGGTGGTTAATTAATGCACTATTAATAGGGAGGTTAATTAATGAAGGGATTAATTAATAAGGGGGTTAATGAACTGTTAATAAGGGGGTAATGAATGGGCGTGATTAATTAGAGCTAATTAATGGGGAGCAATTAAGGTGGGGCAATTAACGTGGGGTAATAAAGGGGGCCTATTTCCAGGGGGCATTTAGGGGCTAATGAAGAGGGGTTTAATGGGGCTAATTAATGGTGCTCATTAATGGGGGTTTAATAACGGAGGGCTCGATCAGGAGGGAGTTAATTAATAGGGCATTAATAAATGAGTTAATTAATTAATAAACGAGTTAATTAGGGCTCAACACTAATGGATTCTTCTAATTGCTAATTAACCCTAATTAATCACCTAATTAATGGTAATTAATGGGTTTGAAGGCATGTCATTAGATGGGGGTGCTAATGGGGGGGGCATTAACGAAGGTGTGGCTAATTAATAGGGTAATTAAGGGGGGATAATGGGGGTTTATTGAGGGCTATTAATAAAGGGGGAACATAATTAAGGGGGTCATTAATAGGCGGGTAATTTGATGGATGATTAATTAATGAGGGCAATTAACAGGGGCTTAACCGATGGGGGTTTATTGATGGTGATTAATTAACGGGAACCCCTTAGTCACTAATAGGGTTAATTAAGGGGGGATTAATTAGCGCTTAATTAGCACTAATTGGCTATTGGGGATTGATCATTAGCTTCAACGGGTGCTTAATGAGGGCTTAATGGTGGTTTATCGAGATAATTAATTAATTAATTAACGGGGAATCATTCATTCAATGGGATCAATAATGGGGACTGATCCATGGGGGTTAATTAAGGGGTATTAATGAATGGGGATCGATTAATTGGGACTAATTAGTGGGTTATTAATCAATGGGTATTCAGGGTGATCAATTAATAGAATTTAATAGATGAGAATGGCAGCTGAGGGGGTTCATTAATGGGGATTAATGGGAGCAATTAATGGGGATTAATTAATGGATATTAATCAATCGGGATGACGGGTGATTAATTAATGGGGATCGATCAATGGCGTTTAATTAGTGGGTATTAATTAAAGGGGATTAATTAATGGGGATCACCAACTGGGGAATAATTAATAGGGATTCACTGGGATTAATTAATGGGGTTCAATTAATTAAAATTAATGAGCATTGATTAATGGCAGTTTAATTAATGGGCATTAGAGGGATTAATTAAAAGGTATTAATGGGGATTAATAGCGATAAATGGAGGTTAATCAATGGGGGTTCATTATTGGGGATTAATAGGGAATGATCAGAGGGGTTTAATTAATGGGGATTAATTAATGGGGATTAATGGTTATTAATGGACCTTAATTAATGTGCTTCAATTAACGGAAATTAATAAATGATTAATTAATAGAGGTTTAATGGGGCTTAATAAATGGCGATTAATTAGTGGGTATTGATCAAAGTGGATTAATGGAGATGAATCATTGGGGGCTAATTGGGATTCTTCAATGGGGATTAATTAATGGCGAATAATTACTGAGGAGTAATCAATGGGCATTAATTAATGGGGATTAATAATGGCGACTATTGGGGATTAATCAACGGGGATTAATTTATGGGGATTAATAATGGCAAATAATTACTGGGGATTAATCAATGGGGATTAATAATGGCCATTATTGGGGATTAATCAATGGGGATTAATTAATGGGGATTAATAATGACGTTTAATTATTGGGGTTTAATCAATGGGGATTAATTAATGGGGATTAATAATGGTTACTATTGCGGATTAATCAATGGAGTTTAATTAATGGGCATTAATAATGGCAATTATTGGGGAATAATCAAGGGAATTAATTAATGGGGATTAATAATGGATTAAACTATTGGGGGTTAATCAATGGGGTTTAATCCATGGGGATTAATTAATGGGGATTAATCAAGGGGGAATAATAATGGCAATTAATTATTGGGGATTAATCGATGGGTATTAATTACTGGGGAATAATCAAGGGGATTAATTAATGGGGATTAATAATGGCAATTAATTATTGGGAATTAATCAATACGGATTAATTAATGGCCATTAACCAACGGGGACTAATAATCGCAATTCATTACTGGGAATTAATAGGGATTAATTAATGGCTATTAATCAACAAGGATTAATAATGGTGATTAATCGGGTCCAATTAATGCCCCATCCCCTTAATTAAACCCTAATTAATGCCACACCCCCTTAATTAACCCCTAATTAACGCCCCACCCCCTTAATTAACCCCTAGTTAACGCCCCACCCCCTTAATTAACGCCCCCGCCCCCTTAATTAACCCCTAATTAACGCCCCCACCCCCTTAATTAACCCCTAGTTAATGCCACACCCCCTTAATTAACCCCTAGTTAACGCCCCACCCCCTTAATTAACCCCTAATTAATGCCCCCACCCCCTTAATTAACCCCTAATTAATGCCCACACCCCCTTAATTAACCCCTAATTAACGCCCCACCCCCTTAATTAACCCCTAGTTAATGCCCCACCCCCTTAACCCCTAATTAACGCCCCCACCCCCTTAATTAACCCCTAAGTAAGGCCCCACCCCCTTATTTAATCCCTAATTAACGCCCCCATCCCCTTAATTAACCCCTAATTAAGGCCCCACCCCCTTATTTAACCCCTAATTAACGCCCCACCCCCTCAATTAACCCCCTAATTAAAGCCCCCCCTAATTAACCCTCATTAACGCCCCTCCCCCCCCAAAAAAAAGACCCCCAAACGCCGCCATTTTGGGTCCGTTTCACCTCCTTTTATTAGAAAAGGCCC